GCACATTACTGTGGCACGTCTCCTCGACATTTTATACCTTTAATAAAAATTATAATATCAAATAATTTTCATATTTTTATTACTCCCAGACACATTTTACTTTTACAACTATTAACGTACTTACAAAGTGGGTAACATTGACGATGATATGAAGTCATGCTTTATGTCTAATTTTTGTCTACAACTTTGTATTGGGGAATTTCTCAATTTTGAATAGGAATGCTAATTTTAAATGAGAAGCAATGGGTCTTTAGAAACTATTGAACATGACACATAATGTATAAGACAATACGCACTCACAAGGGAATCACCACAAGATTGACATGCCTATGTGTGCATAAAGTCAATCAAAAGAAGTAAGAAATTGACTGCACATGCTACAAAGGTATTTTTTTGATTCAAGGGATATTGAGACTCTGATACCTACAAAGGAATTTTCCAGCAGACACTAAGAAATTGAAGCATATATAACACACTAAGAAATGGACTGGACACACTACAAAGGTATATTCTAGCACATATATATAAGCTTTTAGGGACAAAACAAAACAGAATATTATTTGCTGATAATATGTTTGATGAAACGTAAGAATTAACAGAACATCAGAATTTTAGAGAAGTGTATTAGCAAAAATAGATTCAAGATGCATGATTTGAGATTAAATGGAAATTTAGACTTCTAACATAGTGGTGTGCAAGTAATTTTGCTGTTTTTGGTGGGTTTCAATTGATTCAAGGAGAGGCAGCCCGTGGAAAGATATATGCCGAAGAGTTGCAGGTGAAGGAAAATTACATTTTTACTCTTTATTTGTTAGGATTTGCAGTATTATTCATTACCAAGTTCGAAGTATTACTCCAAAGGTGTTGGATGATGAAGTGGGTAAAGTTTTTTTTTAGTTTTTTGCAAATTGAGTGCTCCGGCAGTGTATTGCTGAAATGTGTTTGGGTGAAATGGACCAGTCCAGCAGAGGGCTTATGAAACTAAATATTGATTTCTTTCCAAAAACAAAGAAGGTGGTTGAGACAAGTTGCTTGAGTTTTTTCTGGGCAGTTTTTGACTTATGTAGAAGCTTTTATTGTCATTTTTCTTTTGAAGGATTATCTAAAGTAGATTTTCTATAGCTAGATGCTCCCAATAGTTTCAGAGCATCTATGCAGAGATTTATGGATTTATGGTCAGTTCTCCACGTACAAATCATGAACAGTGATTTCTAAGTAATGTACAAATATTTCACACGATAATTTGACAGTATTTAATAGCAAGTAATCCATAAATGAAAACTAATTTAGAAGAAATCGCAGAGATATTTTGCCAAAAGTTGTAGTCAACCCTGTAAATTTTTTTTCCCATTTTTATGGTTACCTTAGTTTATAGGAGGATTACAGTATAGGCTTAATGGGGCAGTTGGGAAATAGTTATGTGGCAAAGTTAGAAATAGCTGGGTGGAGTATGTTTCTGAATGCCAAATTTAAGGCTTTATAGATAGGTTTTCTACTGTTTTGGAGGCAGGAACATTTACATTTAAGGTGGTTTGAGGTTGATTGTGGATAGTTTGAGAGGAATAGTAGGAATGTTTTGGGCTAAGGATGTCAATGTCAGGTACTAGTCCACTCTCAGGTATTATTATTTTTTTATTAGGGACGGAACCTCAGTTACCTAGGTTCCCTTATGAAACTAATACTAGAAAGGTCTGCTCCCAAAAGAGGTACAAGGCAGTTAGAGGAGACTCAGTTCTACATATTATTCCAGTTGGCTTTTCCCTGGGTTGGCTGTGCAGTTAGCGCATTTATTCCCCTCTCTTAAGGTGTGCATCAGTCTGATATTGTTGTTCTTCAGGATATACTTGCAATTCTGTATTAGCACTTTGAAGGGATGACATCCCTTTGGATTTCCAGCTAATAGGTGGAAAACTTCCATAGAATCTGTCTCTAAAAAAATTTAGGGAAGTATATCCATAAAAAATTTAGGGTAGTATATCCACAAAAAAGACATAGCTGGCATGAAAACTTCCATAAAAAATTTACAGGGTTGGCTGCTTTCTCCCAATAGTTTCAGAGCATTTATGCATGACATTTTATAGATTTATGGTCAGTTCTCCACATACAAATCATGAACAATGATTTCAAAGTAAAGTACAAATATTTCACAAGATAATTTGGCAGTATTTAATAGCAAGTAATCCATAAATGGAGACTAATTTAGAAGAAATCGCAGAGATATTTTGCCCATATATTCGACAATTTCAGGGAAATATATATTATATGATCACCATGCATGTATTTTATGCACACATTGGCATTTGTAGAAGGAGAAAAAACAAAAAATTTAATCCAACATACATGTGCTTAAGGTTTTGGTTTTAGATCATGGATCCTCCATTCAATCTTCCACAACACAACATTCAACTGCAATTTGCAACTAACTATCTAGGTATGTTGAACATTGTTGCTCACTTGCTTGATGTATATGTTTGCTCTGGAAGTTTGTGGGTGCTAGAAATTTGTCAACAGGAAGTAGTCTATTTCGGTCGCTTTTCACCGATTATTGCAAGAGACTAGAGTACTGTTATTACATATGTCCTGAATACTGATAGCTGATAAGGCTTTGTTGAATGCAGTTTTGCTAGAATGTAAAATCATATGCTAGAAGAAAAAGGACTTGTAGATATTTTACTCTATAACTGTAGCAACAGTTATATACATTCAGTAAATTAATAAAATTATAGCAAATGAATTATACAAGATGAAATTGTTAACTTCAATGATAAGAAGGAGATGATACCAATGAATTCAGGTACAATTTCCCAAAATATCAAAACAACAGTGCAGCCCACAATTAAGGTAAATTCAGGAATACTATGTGGAAGAACTTGAAGGTTTCTTTCTAGACTTCAACAATTTTAGCATGAAACTTGCATTACAAAATAGTATTAATAAAGCTGAATTTGAATACCATATAGAACTAAAGAAAAAAAACATCATAAGGTTGGAGAATGCTTTTCTTAGCACCCATTACATACCCTAATGTGGATTGAAAATTGAATAATATTAGGGATTTTTGAATATCACACAATAATAGGGTTTGGGCAATGAGGATTGAAATTTTGCAGATACACATGGAGATTTCTGAATTCTACATTCATGGGGATTGGGCAATGGGAAAATTTTTTCTGAACTAGGGATTTTTCTGAAGTGCAGCCTCAATGTAGCGTACCTGGCTAAATAGATGCTTCTTGTTCAACACGTGAACCCCCCTGTCTACTCCTTGCCTCAGAACTTGTCTTCTCCAAACTTCAGAGCTAGCTCATGAGTATGTACTAGTCTAATGCTTCATTTGACAAAAAACTGAGCAAGCTAGGACTTACAATGGAACCTCAGGCGAATCTTGCAGAACACCTCAGTTGTCTTCTTCGAACAATCTAGGGCTACGATTGAATTTCCTCAGTACATTTTAAGGGCTAATCTTAAGAGATGGCGAAATCAAGCACATTAATATAAGAGAGAGGAGGACTCATTCAAGAGAGAAGAGAGACGAAGGTATGAGCTTCCACAGAGAGAAGAGAGGAGAGTGAGGCAAACTCGTGAATAACAAAAAGGGGGAACTGGAGCGAGGTTTTTGTATTCAAATGAAAGCAGATTCATTATATTCGCTTATTTGATAAAACGTATATAACGAATCCGCTTTCCAGATGACAGCAGCACAAGGTTTGAATTAAAAGCGTATTTCATAAATACGCTTTCAAAGATGAATTCATATTTCTTGATTCTGCTTTACCATATAAAATCGTATTTGTCAATTTCGCTTTTATTTAAAATCGGATTTGTCAATTCCGCTTTTAAAACTATCGTAGAATGGTAAATATGTTTAAAACAACTGTATATCGGTATTTATGTTTTAACTTTGTTGTACATGGGTAATAGATTCTTCAAATCTTAGGGGATCATGTGCAAATAGCCCAAAACACAAAAGGAGATAAATTGAATTTTGCCCCCTTCTGGTGATATTTGGGAACGAACAAGTATTAAACTTTTATTTTTAAATGGTTGAAACTTTTAAAATGTTTTCATTTTTAAGGAGACAAAAAGAATTAGTGATGGAATAAAAAATTTAATATTTTAAGGTGTTTTATAATATTTCAAAATATTTTAATATATTTGTACAATTATTTCGTAATGTTTGAAGATATTTTGAAAAAATAATTCTTAATTTTTTTTTTATTTTGTTCATTCTATTTTCGAAATAGGTTGAAATTTTTCTATTTCCTAGGTGACTAAAACAATACACTAAAATAAAATTTTGATCATTAAGAATAATATATATATTATTGTTTCATATGTCTACATCAACTTACATGCATCTCGACTAAACCTTTTTTTAATTTGATTAAAGACAAATATTTACGTCAGAACTAAGACTTCAAATAATTATCAAAATTTTAATTTAGAATGTTTGAATTCATAATATATCTCTATTATTAAAAACTACACCTAAAGATTAAATATATCTAATTGTTTGAATCTATACATAGGAAAATGCTATAACACTTAAATTTGGATTCCAAATAGAACCCCAAATGAACGGTGACTATTAAATGTTTAGGTTCCATTAATTTTTTTTAAATAAAACCCATTAATCCAATAATTATTTTTTTTTATCAGAAATAATTATTATTAATTTAGAATATAGCATTTGAGATACTCAAATTTAAATTGGATAGCATTGCTCCTCCACATAAGTGTGCACGTCCCAAATAAAATTTAAATCCAAAAAACAGTTCAGCTTGGAGCCTACCACAAAAATTCCCATTTCTGATGCTTTGATTTTCTGTGGGGTTTCAACTGTCAATCGTTTTGTCATCACCTTCGCAAGTCATTACACCTGTAACACTTCTCCCACTTTCTAGATCAATCTTCCTTCTTCTCTCCTCCCAAACAAAATCCACTTCTTCTATAATCTCAATCATGCTCTCTCCTGTTCAACGCATTCTTCATCTCCTCCAATGGCCTCCCCACTTTTCACTACTTCCTACTCTTCTTACAAAAGTCCACATTACATTCATTGTTCTTGTCTCTCCAGCCACCCATTCGGGCAAAAGACTCGCCTCTCATTCCCTCTCTCCTCCAAACCCAACTCCAAAAGACTCATCAAGTTTTCTGTCAAAGCTGAGCAAGAAAATGAACCCTTATCTTCCCCTTCTGTTGCTGTAATTTCAGAGAAACCCCAAAACGAGGACACCCAGAAGAAAGATTTGTCTGTAGAAGGTGAATTGAGTACTGATTCAGAGTCCCAGGATAAAGAGCAACTGCAAGAACTGGATTGGAAAACAGATGAGGAGTTCAAGAAATTCATGGGGAATCCTTCGATTGAGGCAGCAATAAAGCTTGAAAAGAAGAGGGCTGATAGGAAGCTCAAAGAGCTTGATAGAGAAAGAAGTGATAACCCAATTGTGGGGTTCTTTAATTGGGTGGTTCGTGACAATTTGTCTAGAGAGAAAGAGAGATTGGAGAAAGCAGAGGAGACTTTCAAGGCTCTTGATCTTAACAAGGTGGTTACTTTTCCCAAATTGTGATATATAAATCCATTTAAATACTTTCAAATTTTATGTAGGAACATGTATAATTTGTTGTGTTTTTTAATTGGCAGTTAAAGAGCTGTTTTGGGTTTGATACATTTTTTGCGACCGATGTCAGGAGATTTGGAGATGGGGGAATTTTTATTGGGAATTTGAGGAAACCCATTGAAGAGGCAATACCCAAATTGGAGAACAAGCTATCAGAATCAGCAGGAAGGGAGGTGGTAGTGTGGTTGATGGAGGAAAAAAATAATGACATTACAAAACAGGTACTTGAAAACGAGCCTAGATTTACTTATGTTTTAATTCTTATACACTGGTGATGAGTTTGAGATGTAGTGTGATTGCATATGTAAATTATTGATATTTGATATTGTGTCACCTTGGTATTGTTTGGCCCGTTTGAACATTTCGATTTCCTACTCAAATACTGGCATGTAATCAATCCAAATAATCGAGTCAGAGAAGCCATAGCCTAGCAGCCATATCAGTTTTTAGCACTTTTGGACCACATTCACAATTCTGAGAGGTTGACAGTTGACACCATGTTCCTGTTGGTAGAATGTAGATAGTAGGCATTAAATCCAAGTGCTTGTTGGTTAAGACCCACTCACTCTGAATTCGGGAATAATGATGTACAAACAATCACTGGGAAGATGTAGTGGCTCAAGTTCATTCTCGGTAATGTGACATTCTTGGGACTCCAATCTCTTGCTATGAGCTGAAGAAGGATTAACTTGCTTTACTGTTTGGGTTGCGAGTTTTTTTCTTTTTGTTAATTCTATTGTTAACAATGGCTGGTTTTTAGGTTTGTATGGTGCAACCAAAAGCAGAGATGGATCTCCAGTTCGAGTTAACCAAGCTAAGCACTCCTTGGGGCTATACTAGTGCAGTCTTGTTATGTATTACAACATTTGGGACGATTGCTTTGATGAGTGGCTTCTTCCTCAAGCCTGATGCCACATTTGATGACTACATAGCTGATGTTGTGCCTCTCTTTGGCGGCTTCCTAACCATTTTGGGAGTTTCTGAGGTAGGTTGAATTGTGCCTGTCCATCAAAGTGGTTTATTTATATCTTTTGATGTCTCGTTTGAGAACTTCAGGATATTAGCTAATAACTAGTATTTTTCCTGTTTTCTTATATGATTACTCCTGTAGTTTAGAGGCAGTACAAGCTAAGCTTGGTAATACTGGAGATATTTTTAACCTTGCTGTTATTCAGTGTGTCAAGAAACAACCACGTGCTTGGTTTAAAATGTAAATATGGACTAGTCTTAAATGCCATGCCTAATTTATACAAATCTTACCTTGTACTTATAGTCTATGTGATAGTGTAACAAAGGAGAAATCTTAGATGCCATGCCTAATTTAGATCCACATGCAGGATATATTTCAATATTGTTTGGCTATGGAAATCTAACCAGCATATTCCCCTAATCACAACAATTCACCTCCTAGCGATTGATCAAATTGAAGCATGAAGTAGGGTGCATCTGCGTTACAACATATGTCATAATAACAAGAACAGCATGTTTGTTATGGAAGTAGCTTTCTTGACATTGGCAATGATGCAAACTCACTGTTGAGCATCACTCTTCTTTTTAGATGCAGGCAGGCAATCAAGTTCATTTTTAACTGATTTATTCGTGACTGTTTTGACATTTCTGCGTAAGAGAAAAGCTAATGAGCAGGAGGTAATTGTACAAACCATGTTAACCTTCACGAGTCTGTTATATGCTTATATCGCTTACAATTTCTGCCCGCACAAAATCAAGCTGTTAGCCATCCTCAAGCAAATAGTACATCCTGTTAGCCACTCTTTGGTTTTGAAATTTCATCTGGTACACATGAGATAATTGTTGGAGGTTGTTCCTTCGCAAATTTTGGGCTTTGGGGTCATTGACCATGTCTTGGCAGGAGTAGTTGATTTTTAGGCTTTTTCATTGATTCTGTGAAGGCTTTCATGCTTACCTCCCTTTCAGCCTGCTATCTTTACATGATGACTGTCTTGGCCTACACTTGTCAATATGGGAAATAGTATTTGGTAATTGATACCCATGTCCTGTTTTGTAGTGCGTATTGCTATTATGTCCCATGTCGCCACAACTGTGATCAGAATTGCATCCATGATCATGGGTTGCCAGCTGTTGATATATATCAGAAATATGTAAAGTTGATTTTAAGTCTCAAGAAGTGTATTTTATATGGTGTTTGAAGGTACCCTCAAAAAGGGGAAGCCGAGGGTGGAGGATAAGCAATATATGGTTTTCTACACACTGTTTGAATTTCAGATGTAAAAATGTATCTCATGCAAGACATGGTTATGTTCTAATAATGTGAAGATATCTTGCAACTGAGGACTTCTCAAAAATCTGTACAGTTACATCATGGTCCTTTCAAGCAAATGTTTGCATCTTTCTGGTGTTGAAACCTTGAAGTTTGACACTTCCATGTGCTAAACATTTGTTATTCTTCATATGCATTGCAGATAGCGACAAGGGTAACAGCATCTCGTTATGGTGTTAAGCTCAGTCCATCCTTTCTTGTTCCCTCCAATTGGACTGGGTGCTTGGGAGTGATGAATAACTATGAGTCTCTGCTGCCAAATAAGAAGGCTCTTTTTGACATTCCTGTTGCCCGTACAGCAAGTGCGTATTTGACATCACTAGTACTTGCAGTTGCTGCTTTTGTTGCTGATGGCAGCTTCAATGGGGGTGACAATGCATTGTAAGTTTTCCTTAATTCACTTTCAGATCACATCCCATCTAAGATGCATGACAATATTGTTCATCCTCATTTTCAATGAGGTTTCGGTGATTTTTATTGCCTCTGGCAAATCGGTAAGTTATGCAGGATCAGACAGGAGATAAAGCTATCAAAATTATATGTCTGGTGTTATGTGCATTTGCATGTTTATACTTTGGTGAGTTTTGCTTAAGAAAGAAAGTAGTGTAATGTCTGGGTTTTATGCTGTTTAATTTTTTTTTTTGAACAGCGTTGTTTAGCTATTTGCATTTATCTTTTACTTTTCAGGTATATAAGGCCTCAATTCTTTTACAATAATCCTCTACTGTCTTTTATCCAATTTGTTATCGGGCCATACACGGATGATCTTGGGAATGTGTTGCCATATGCGGTTGAAGGCGTGGGAGTACCTGTTGATCCCCTTGCTTTTGCTGGACTGTTAGGTGATTCTTTTGGGCTATTTGTTTAAGTAGCTTAGATTATCTAGTTTGCCGGATTATGCAAATAATAATGGGTACTGAATTCATGAAATGTTAATCTTTTACTGTATGGTTGTTAGAAAGAAAAAAATGTTGAGTTTCAAATACTGGTTCACACTCAACAGCATGTCATTATAATATGATGGTTCATGATGGTTGGAAAAGTTGACACATTTTCCGCCCTTTTAATCTGCCAGGATCCTAACTGAACTGCTTAAGCAGTTAACAGCCGAATATGTTCCAACTTTCAGTTTTCCATATGATAAGTATGTTCAGAGGATATTCTCCTGATGAAATTTCCATCTTATTGGTGGAGTCTTTCTTTTTCCCGCATACCATTTAGCTCTCTCTGTCTGGACGTCGTTGCCACAATATCAGTCAACACTGGCCCAGAATTTCTATAATTTCCACATGCTAATGTGTGATCCATCCTCGTTACTTATTCATGCGGAAGATCTTGATTCTTGACTGACTCTGTCTGCTGCAGGAATGGTGGTGACTTCTTTGAACTTGCTGCCATGTGGTAGACTTGAAGGAGGCCGCATTGCACAAGCTATGTTCGGTAGGAGCACTGCTACTTTGTTATCGTTTGCCACTTCACTACTCCTAGGCATTGGTGGTTTGAGTGGAAGCGTTCTCTGTTTGGCATGGGGACTTTTTGCAACCTTCTTTCGAGGTGGAGAAGAAGTACCTGCAAAAGATGAGATCACCCCATTGGGAGATGACAGGTATGCTTGGGGTATTGTGCTCTTCCTCATATGTTTCCTTACTCTATTTCCAAATGGAGGAGGAACATTCTCCAGCCCTTTTTTCAGTGACCCATATTTCAGGGGCGATTTGTAAATAGAGTTGAGGCATTGCTCTATGTATAATCTCTTCTATGCTTCAGTGAATTGATGGCTGTAATTTTTAGTTCTAATCAATACAAGAAAATGAAAAGAAAAGTTATAGAAAAGGAGAATAGTAGAGTTCCATTTGCAAGTTTCTGTACGGAAATGTAGGCTTTTGTTGGATCATAGTTTCAGCTGATTCTATAGGCAAGTGGGGGAGTTCTTACCTTGTTTCGGTGAAGACGCAATCTGACACGTTTGTCTGTCTGATCAAAAGGAGATTATCATGGTTTTAAATATTCTCTCTGGATTCAGTTGCACTTATTTCTGCACTTTCAGATCGACCTGAACTCTTTTGAGACGTACCCTTTATTCTTTTAAGTACTTTCTTTATTGTTATTGTTTAATTAACGTTGAGAAGTTTGTTCTTCAATTATGAGATCTTTAGATTCGTAAGATCATAATAGTGTTCTTTCACTTTCGATTTATTAGATTAGTAAAGTGCTCGTGTCTTACAACTACTAGAGTTTAAAGCTTACCTCATTACTAAAGAAAGAGAGACAGTAGTGATTTACTAATAGAGCAATGTTATTTGAACTTAATTTGTTGATTTAATTTACTGTGACTTTTGAATTAACTGTGGGGCCCATTAAATATTGAAACTTGATTTCAATGAAATCATATCATTAAGTTAGTAAATTAGGTTAATTTTTTAAGTCCAAATAATATTAGTGTTACTAATAAAAAGGTTAGGGGGACTGAGAAGCTGTTGTTTGTTGTTTTCTGTTTACTCTGTCAGCCTTGACTGTGCCATTCTATAACTTTCCTTCTTTCATCCAGCTAGGGGTGTTCACCTTATCATACGGGTAGTAAATATAATTTTTCGTCTTCCTATCCGACATTTTGTGGAAAAAAAATTTTTTGGCCTACCCTAATCGATCAGGTGTGGTATTTCTACCCGATTTCCTACCCAATTAATCGAGTAGGAAGTCGGGTACACATTTTTGTATCTATTAATTTTTAGATCATTTTAACAATTTAATTAAATAAAATGCACCAATTTAACAACACAGTAAATCAATAACACTAAAATTTAAAACAACTACAACAACAATTATAATAAAATATAAGAAAGCATGAACATCTATCTATCATAATTGTTACACAAATATAATAACAGTTATTTTAAATTTAAATCATATGAAACACATTAAAATCATAACTGCTCTAATAGATCACCGGTTCACTATAAATCATGTAATCTACACAAAAAATATGTTCATGTTTTCGCAATTCAAACATTCACAACAATAACAATGTTATAATAAATTATACCACACAAATACTCTTATAATTATTAAAAAATATATAAAAAAAATAAATATATTTTTTACAGGTAGAGTAGAGTAGAAATGCAGAAATTGATGGTTATTCCGCATTCTTACCCGATTTAATCGGAAGACCAAAAACTCTTATGTATTTCTACCCAATTTTTGTGACTAGCCGCTCAATAGGGTAGGATAGAGTTGGATAAGATAGAAAATTTACATCAATCAGAAATTTGAACACACCTTACATCCAGCCACATGTATTTGTTTTTTTTGACTACGTCACTTTTTGTTTAGAAAAGTCTTCAAAGAATGATACCAAATAAGAGAGTCAGTACATGTCTTAAGTTTTAATTTTAATAATTATTTGGGATTAGGTCATGAAGAATTTATTTTTTATGAATATTCTAGTTTCGGCTTGGATGGTATGTATTTAACTGAATTAAAAAGAGAATTAATCGAGATATACATTGACTAACTTAGCCATTTTTGACCATTGAACCAAAAAATATATAAGTAAGAGAGCCACAACAGTCTTTATTAGATTTCTGACTTCGCCTCTTCAAGGACTTATCCCTAAGAGAGCCACCACATGAGCCCCCCTCATACTGTGTGCCATACAACCACCTTCCAACTGCATCTGTAGAGATGACAATGATGGTTTGGTCCATGGAAGAAATTGGTGAAGTTGTAACACAATATTTGATGAGACATTTTCAGACACTTCAAGATGACGACACGTGTCTTCGGCGACAATGGATACTCACCGATCAGATCACGACACATGCGCGTTGGTCCATAATCCCCCCGAGGTACTATTCACAGGGATCAAGGATCCCTAGTAAGGCATAGACCAATACGTATCCCTCGATTAGTTTGGGTACATTGACCCCTAGCGACGCTGGACCCTTGGTACCGAGGTATACTTGTCTACACAGCATTTCTGCTCCTGCGGAGGCTATTGATTGACGAGTTACTAGCCTAAGTTAGGCTAGACTAGCTATCATGACATCGTTCTACTCAAATGATGTCAGGAGGCACAAGAAGGCATAAGATTCAACCAAATGAGAATGGACATGTGGCGTATTATGTCAGATCAGAGGCAAAAAGACCTGAATGCCCTTGCTGACACACGGCTTGGGAGGTCAGGCACTTAATGCATTCTTCACTCGATGAGACAACATTTAATACATAAGATCCTGGAAGTGAAAGACAATAAATGTTCCTAATACCAGGACATTTAATACATCCCTGCCGAGAGAAGGTCATTAAACGCTCGGCAGACCGAGGAGAAGGCATTAGTTGTACGAGGTCTCGAGCAGTTAAGAAGGAGAATATTTCTCATAGAAATTGGTGTACACACTACCCACCTCTAATGATTACTTACTGGCCACGCTGTCAGCAATGATGAGGAGCTTTGTTAGGTATAAATAGTCCTCACAAACACATGAAAAATGTACGCAATAAACCCTCTCTCAACCATTATACAATATTTTCTTTTTCTCCTCTCTGAAAGAACTGACTTGATCGTCGGAGGGGATACGCCGAAAAATACTCCGGCGCCCTTTTAACCTGTTTTTCTTTGTTCTAGGAACATCGCTTAGCCTTCCAAGATCACTCAGGCGACTCCTAAAAATAATTCGTCATCACTTCATTGGCCACTTTTGGCCCTTACAACCTGTTTCAAGTAGCAAGATCGACCACTTGATTAACGGACTCATGTTCACCACGGAAGATATCTGTTCTTGTGTTTATATTGTGTAGGATCGTGCACGCATAATATTAATATCTCGATATTCCTGGTTGGAGTCTAGTAAGAGATTCCTCGGTTGATTTGACATGTAATTTGTGGGTAATTACTCATATCTGAAGTTTATGTATTTATGAAGAGTTTTGAAAAAATACGTAATTGGAAGTAATTTTTGGGGAAAGTTCTTCGTTTTTGATTTTTGTGTAGCTGGATCCTCCGGAACAACATAATTCATAATGAAATTCAAATTCAACACCTTTTGAGTGAGATTTTGAGAAGAGTTACCATTTAAAGGAGCACAATGCAATGAAAATTATAAGTTGTGTTCGGGGTGAGTTATTGCATACGGTTGACCTCAATGGTAGATTTAATTAGGGCTCACAATCGTGTTGGGTCGAATTTATATCACGTCATTTCAGGTTCGTGTGTGGAGCACTACTCAATCCTAATTCAATTTAATTAACTAATCGTGTTATGTCGTGTCGGTTTATTTATTTTCGTGTCGTGTTCATATTGACCCATATAACCTGTGAATAAAAAATTTAATGCTCAGTTTTATGTTTAAATTTTATTATCACCTAATCAAACCTATGCTTATATTTTTTCTATAAACTAAAAATTAACTTAATAAATATAATAATAAAAATATTTTTTTTAACAAGAATTAGATCACTACTTGATAAAATATAATTAAAAAATAATATTTTATTCTTATAATATTATTTAAACGTGTTAATCGTGTCAATTTCATATTATTCGTGTTTAACACCAACTCAATCCATTTATTATTTATATTAATAAATCATGTCGTATACAAGTTTGTATCGAGAAATAATTAATCTTAACCCGTCAATTTTGAGTTTCGCCTTCTGTCATAAATTGTAACCCTTAGATTCAATTGTAGCATTTAAGAGGTGGTGGTTTACCTTCGCTGGTGTTGTCAGCAAAAAAAAAGTTGCATAAAAAAGCTTCTTAATGTGACCTTTTACATTGTCAAGTGGTCATGTTTATTTATACACAACTCTTACTTTTCGCTTTCAAACCCACCCCCACCTCACCATCACTAATAAATTTCCAAAAGAAAAGTCAAGTCTCTGTACTTTTCATTCCTCCAAGTTGCCTATGTTCTTCGTTTACTCATTCAAAAGGAAGAGATGATCCACTGCTAGAATCCCATACAATTTTCATGATCCTATCCACTTGTCATGCTTCTAATCTTCTCATTCATGACATGGACCTCTGTGCTCTAAGTATGGTAACCAACCATCCTAGCATGTTGTCAGCTGGATTATTTTTTCCTAACTCAAGAAATTATCTGAATCTCGGACTCCGCTTAATCTTCCTAAATATATACAATCCAGAATTAATATTAGGACAAATTCATTATCGATTAGGTTTGGCCAGTAACTAGGTAGTTTTTTTAATCCATTGAAATTAAACTCATACTTAATAGTTTTATATCAATTTCGTAATGAATTGGCTAGTTATAGGAAGAATTATCAATCCTAATATCGGTAACAAGGAATTAGACTCTCACCTTCTCCCACTCAATCTCCTATTAAAAATTGTTGGCAATATGACCCGAAAGATAAAGTGAACTACATGGTGAGATTTGGACTGGATCGCTACTCTCTTAAGACGATTTGTGTCCCTTTATAGAAGAAACAAAATACAAAAAGTAGCAGTGCGTTGTCTCCAAAATACAACAATTAAATATATAAATATGTATACTGTGAAAATATGACTATAGATATTCCGTAATTACTTTCGTATTTAATCAAATAATAATTATTAGAATTAAATAAAAAAAATGAGCGTTGGAAATGAAAATCTCAAAGTCTCATTTAACTTGATGGTTAAATAACACTAGCATATATTATATACTCAAATACTTTTAAAAATTTAGTCACTATGAGATTCAGTTTTTCACATAAAAGTATTCTTTTGTTAAAATACTAACAAAAATGGTAAAAACAAGGCTATCACAATCCTAAAAGGAAAAAAATGAAAAACAAAATAGTAAGTGTTTCTTTGCTCCTTCTAGACGTTTTTGGCTCCCTTCCATTGTTTTTACTTCCAATAGTTTTCTGCTTCCAACATTTTTTTTTAGATTATCCACTATGAATTGAAGTCGAACACGCTTTTATGACAGGGTATCTCCTACCAAGAAACGATG